CCCACACGTTCATCATACCAAGTCGCGTCCCGACCTCTACCATTCATCAAAGCATCCGACCATCAAGCCCCTCCCGCATTCATAATTCAAGCCAGGTCTATGTCCTTCCCTTGTCAATTTTCCCACCCCTTGCCCGCATTCCGCGGGATCCTGTCCCGCTCAGTCCATCCTAAGTTACTCACCTGCGCAAGACCACACAAGCACAAACCAAGTACAATCCCCCTTGGGGTCAACACATCGCCCCTCCCACAAGCCTAAGTTCCTTTCTCTTTCAATGACCCGTTTAGTTCTCTTTTCCTTCCTTCAAGCAGGCCACGCCTTTTCCTTAGTCATGCAGTCGAGGAAGATGGTTGAGTCAAACTGACCTTATCTCAAGCCTTCGTTCCTTTCCGCTTTTACAATGGATCCCTCTTTTCCAAGTTCCCACAAGTGTTCTCTCCTTTCCCTCTTGGTGGCACAAGGGACCGACAACCCTCCCCTTGCCCTCTCTTTCCAACAAGTGAGGACCAAGTTCTTTGCTTGTTCGTTCCATGACAATATAACGGGTGAGGGGAAAGGTTAGTCATGTACCAAGAAAAAGGACAAGGGAAAAAAAGGGAGGAGAGAGAGGGAAAGAAAGAGGAGGAGAGGGAGGGAGAGAGAGAGAGAGAGAGAGAGAGAGAGAGAGAGAGAGAGGGGGAGAGAGAGAGAGAGAGAGAGAGAGAGAGAGAGAGACTATCCTTTCCTAATCGACCTCACTTCTCTACTCAACCCTACCAGCCTACCTAGGGTCCCTCGTGCCCCTTCGAGCCCTCCCCTTGCCTACAATCCTCGGGTGGTGGAAGGTAGTTGGCTATGGTGGACGGGCGTAGGTGAGGGTGGAGGAGGAAGGTGCAACGTGCTTGGCTATGGCGGATAGGCGTAGGTGAAGGTGGAGGAAGAAGGTGCAAGGTGGTTGGCTATGGCGGACGGGTGTAGGTGGAGGTGCAGGAAGAAGGTGCAAGGTGGTTGGCTATGGTGGATGGGTGTAGGTGAAGGTGGASRAAGGAGGTGCAAGGTGGTTGGCTATGGTGGATGGGTGTAGGTGGAGGTGGAGGAGGAAGGTGCAAGGTGGTTGGCTATGGTGGACGGGTGTAGGTGGAGGTGGAGGTAGGAGGTGCAAGGTGGTTGGCTATGGTGGATGGGTGTAGGTGGAGGTAGAGGAAGAAGGTGCAAGGTGCTTGGCTATGGTGGATGGGTGTAGGTGGAGGTGGAGGAGGAAGGTGCAAGGTGCTTGGCTATGGCGAGGGGTGTAGGTGGAGGTGGAGGAAGGAGGTGCAAGGTAGTTGGCTATGGCGGACGGGTGTAGATGGAGGTGGAGGAAGGGGGTGCAAGGTGTTCTGCGTTGTCCTTTGGACATCCGGTCATGATGGATAGCTGCAGTGGAGGGGTGAGGGGGATGACGAAGGAGGTGACGGGGTGCAAAGTGACCTTGTCTCCGGGTCGTCCCCTTTCCGAGGGCCTGGGCCCGTTGCCCGCCGTACCCCCTAGCCTCTGGGGCAAAACACAGTCCCCAGCACTTCATTCTACAGCTAGCATGCAGAAAACTCACACTTTGCAGCAGGCCCAGCTGGTAGAAAAACGCAGAATTTACAGGTTTGTGGATTACGGTAATTCTACCGTTTTGCTGTTTTTCTGCCTAAGGTGAAAATTCGGGATACTCAGAGTTTCCTTCCCCAAACGACATCGGAATCACCCAAAATTTAGAGCGCCCTCTCACTGTATCACAGGGAAGCCCTCCACAAAATTTATTTTCATTACGACGTCGTTTGGATCAAGTTGCTCGTTTCGGGCGTTGGTCGATTCCGGGTGAACAATTCAGAAGAAGTCCGTTTTTTGATTTTTTCAGAAAACGGACTCGATGGCCTGTTGGTCCTGCAGGCCATCCGTTTGTACTCAGAACATGAGGTCTGAGAATTATCAGACCTCATTCCCAAGTTTCAGCAGTGCTATTGCCGACGCGTCGTCGACCGCACTTGGTCCGTTTGCGGTTCTCGTGTGATCCCCGCGCCGGCGGATGGTTAACCCTCTTTTTCCCGAGGCAGCAGCCTATGCTGGCCTGGTCCTAGCATCAGCCACAAACCTACAACTACCTAGTACATGGGTGAACAGCTCAGGCACATGCCACCGAGATCGCAAGAGAAGAGCATCACAATACTTCGAGGGAAGATCGAAACACTCCCACCTATCGCACGAGTGAAGTCATAAGTGCGAACAGTCCAATTCATAAGGGAAGAACAACACAACACTCAAGGAAGAATCAGAACACTACCACCTACCACATGAGTGAAAAACACAGGTGTGAACATTCCAAGTCACAAGGGAAGAACAACCCAACACTCAAGAAAGAATCGGAACACTACCACCCACCACATGAGTGAAAAACACAAGTGTGAACAGTCCAAGTCACAAGGGAAGAACATCCCAGTACTCAAGAAAGAACTGGAACACTACTACCTACCATATGAGTGAAAAAAACACAAGTGTGAACAATCCAAGTCACAATGGAAGAACAGCGGAACATCCGTGGGTGCATTGTCATAAACCCAAACATCAAAAACAACAAAAAGACAAGTTTGAGAGCATTCTACACTAGGGGGAGATCAACGGAGCATCATAGGAGGCATTGCCATACACCCAAGCATCAAAAACAGCAAGAAGACAAGTTTGAGAACATTCTACACTAGGGGGAGATCAGCGGAGCATCATAGGATGCATCACCCATATACCCAAGCATAAAAAACAACAAAAAAACAAGTTTGAGAGCATTCTACACTAGGGGGAGATCAGCGGAGCATCATAGGATGCATTGCCATATACCCAAGCATAAAAAACAACAAAAAAATAAGTTTGAGAGTAATCCACACTAGGGGCAGATCAGCGAAACATTATAGGATGCATCGTCATACACCCAAGCATAAAAAACAACAATAAGACAAGTTTGAGAGCAATCTACACTTGGTGGAGATCAGCGGAACATCATAGGATGCATCGCCATACACCCAAGCATAAAAAAAGCTCAAAGACATGTTTAAGAGCAATTTACACTAGGGGGAGA